GATTCTGCCCCTCTACTCTGCTCTGGTGAGACCTCACCTGGAGTACTGCGTCCAGCTCTGGAGCCCTCAGCACAAGAAGGACATGGAAGTGTTGGAGCGGGTCCAGAGGAGGGCCACAAAAATGATCTGGGGGCCTCTCCTATGAGGACAGGCTGAGGGAGTTGGGCTTGTTCAGCCTGGAGAACAGAAGGCTGCAGGGAGACCTGTCTGTGGCCTTTTAGTACTTAAAGGGGGCCTATAGGAAAGATGGGGAAAATCTTTTTAGTAGGGCCAGCTGTGTCAGGATAAGGGATAATGGTTTTAAACTAAACCAGGGTAGGTTTAGACTGGATATAAGGAGGAAATTCTTTACAATGAGGGTGGTGAAACACTGGAACAGGTTGCCCAGAGAGGTAGTGGAGGCCCCATCCCTGGAAACATTCAAGACCGGGTTGGACGGGGCTCTGAGCAACCTGATCTAGTTAGCGGTGTCCCTGCTCCTGCAGGGGGGTTGGGCTAGATGACCTCTAGGGGTCCCTTCCAACCCAAAGCATTCTATGATTCTATGATTCTATGATTCTTTATTTCAAAGAATAAATGATAATGATTCTATCAGAGACAGAACAGAAATGCTATGAAAAAAAAATCATCAGCAATTAAAGTAAAAAATTGTGCATTAATTTTATTAGAATGCTTTGTTTCCTGAGCAAGATTTACCACACAACATGCAGATGCATTTAATAATTTAATTCACTATACATTCTGCACCTGTGACAGTGCACTTGTGATAGCTGTGCAACAGAAGTAGCAACTGAGAAAATTTCCAGCTTTGAGTAATTTCAAGAAGTAACAGCGTCTTCAGTAACGGAGCTTTACTAGTTACTAGTGTCAATGTTAAGTTTCCAATGCCTATCAAGCTGAAGTGGTTCATTTCAGCAGCATATTTAAAGCTCTTTAGATTTCAACACAACTTCTACATTAGAAGTTTCAGCAATGTTTATTACATTATTTTTTTTTTGCAATCTTAGACATGAGAGTAAAAACTTAGCACAATCAGGCTATTTTCTAATGGATCAGTTGATTTAAAGCACAGAGGGAATAATAATGATAGGAAGACAAACAGAATCTCAGCACAAGTAACTTATGCCAGCATCTTTCTGACAAGTTCTTTTGATGAAGCACTGAGCTCACTGCAAGAGTCCTACATACATGTACAGCAAAAAACTGTCTCCACAAAATGTAATTACTTATTCGATCGGGTAACACTGATGAGGTTCATCACAAAAAGGGTATGAGGATGGGGCTACATCTTTCAGAAGCTCTAAATAGTTATTTGTAAATATTATATTATATTATAATATATATTATTTCAGGAAATGTAAGGGAATTATGGACATCTAAATAAAGGATGGTATTCCTTTAAAAATCTGAGTATTGGACATCTCAGGAAAAGTTGCAAATCTAACTTTTATTAACTTTTATGCCTCGCTGCATGCAAGAGACACTAAAAAGCTATCTTGAAAACAGAAAACAGTTCACCAAAGTGTATTATAAACAATTTAAGCAATAAAGCAACAGTGGCTTCTCCAATCGCAAGTGCAGCTCTTTCACAAAGAATATTGAGTTATGAGGTTATGCTAAAACATGACACAAATATATTCCCGTGTTTGTCCAAAAAGAGGAGAAACACAACAACATGCAGTACAGATGTGCCACTGATTTCAATGTAACTCACACCAGTCATGTGTCAATACTCAAAAAAAATGTGTCTGGATTAACCTGACACAAACACTGCTCTGCTCTACATGCTACTGAAAAAGAAAGGTAGAGGCATACAAATAGAAAATGTGTTTTTATTTTCAAGCAAAGCAAGGCTGGAGATGTGCTAAGATGAACTAAGAAGATTATAAGATTATTGTCCAGAATTCACTTAGTAAAATGCTTATCACATTAGTTCATAGCTGTGCTTATCTCTGAAGTAAGGATTACTAAATATACTAATGTCAATGCAAAAAAAAAGAAATTACTGTTTTATCTTTTAGTTTGGCTATCACCTTGGTGTCCTTTGGGTAGGCCTAATACTTTAATCTGAACCTTATTCTAACTGACAATGGAAAAACCAGCAACAGTTTACAGACAGAAAGACTGACAACTGCTGCTGAATGACACAAGTTTTCCGTTTTGTGTTTTGAAAGAGCTCAGTTATGCTGGATCACTGAACACTTCACTGCAGGATGGCCCAACTATGTGTGACAGGGTACCCTGCTTGGCACTTACATGCACAAAGCTGCTTAAATAATGAGCCAGTTCCCACGTGCAGAGTGCTGCTGTTTAAGCTGCTAATAGCCAACAATTTCCACACAAGAACAGCACTTCATAGTATATTAAAAATCCCAAACACCTTTTGAATGCTCTAAATGAAGGAGCCAGTAGTGTTAAAAAGGGAGATGAGGAAAGACATATTTCAGATTTGTACCACATACACAAGAACAAACACTTTTAAAAACTCTTTGAAACTCTTAGAAGGCCCCTATTTTGCAACTTCCATGATTAGAGAGGACGTACGTATTATTTTCTGTGGAAACATGAAAAATACTGACACAGTAGAACAGGGAAAAACTGACACACACCTGAAGGAAGTTGCTGGGTAAAGAAAATTAAAATGCCTCCCTTTATTGTACACCAAAACATGTTCAAATTTATCTACTAAGCCGATATGGCAAAGGAACCTCTGGTGACGTTTTCTGTTAAAAAAAACCACACAGAAAAGATGGATTCCTTAAAATCATGCTTGTCTAGTTAAGCTGATAGTCCCTCTAACAAGACCCCCTCCTGCTTCGAACAGACTGTAGTGTTACTGTGCTCCTAATGCTCCATCCTCAATCAAGTCAATGATTGTCACAAGTGTGGTGGTCACACCGCCAGATTTCTTTTTGTGCCATGCAAGACTGCAACATTACACGTTAGCAGCGGAGAGCTTTAAAACGTCATGAGCATATCACGTTCTTGTACGCTAGTGTAGAATGGCCTCCCAAAGATAAAGGAATGTAGACCTGGTTTAAGCTTCTCAGCCAGAGCCATTATTATGTTAAGATCGCCCTCTGCTGTTAAGTCGAGATCTATCTTTAGGCTACGAAGAGACTTAAAAGGTTTTTTTCCTTTTTGCCTGCAAGAAAATAAAAAAGGGCATTGTAAAGAAGAACAGAGGAAGTTTCTCAAAGCCTGCTTTCTATTATCTGTTCACTTACGTGTCATCCTCTATGTATTTTATTAAAGTTAATGCTTTTCTGTGCAGGACTAGCAGAAACTGTGCAAGGAAAGTGCTCCTCAGAGACAAGCCAGGCTTCAGATGAAAGATCTGTTAAAAAGTATACCAGATAATTAGGAAGACATGAAAATTCAAGAATCACTTTAAGAATGTGGAATATAAAGAAACATTGCATACACATGTAACATATCCTTAATTATAGCAAAGCAGGCACATTAACAGCAGATTTGTAGGTATGCATAACATTAATTCTCAGTTTTCCAGCTGCTCAGATGCAATTAATTAAGCTGGTTTACAATTCTGTTTGGGTAAAGTTATTGTTTTCCTTTTCAAAATGACATGAAATTAAGCCCAGTCAGCTAGATTTCTCAATACTGTAGTTGTAGACACTGCTGCACAGCAATAGAAATTGTGCATTCTTTTTCATACATAAGAAGTTTCAGTATTATACTAATATTACAGATTACAAAAGTACTTTTCTCTCTTATTATGCAGAGCAGAATCATAGCACTAATACAAAAAATTGCTACTCAGCCAACAAATTATCTACTCATGTTAAATTATCTGTTACTAGGGCTCAAAATACTGAAGTTTAGCTCTTGGTCTTTCTGAAAAAAATGATGATTACCTGATCCAGGAAGGCTTTTACTAATGTATCTCGATGCAGGATATCTTGAAAGACATTTCTATAGAAAAGAAAGCAAGCAAACATATGAGGTAATGCCATAAAGGAACACTAACTGTCCAGCAGTTGTAAACAGCAATAGCATTACTGTTTACAATCTAGCAGAAATGAAATGTGAATTCAAAATTTTAGTGAATTATAATCCTACCATTTTTCAAGCTAATGCAAAATTTTCACGCAAAACTTTCAGATGGAATTAACTAAACCCAGGAAAGCCATTGGGCCCTGTCCAATACACTTAGCTTTGTTATACCCCTATTTAAAACAGGCAGCAAAATTAACATAACATGGTTACAAGTATCCCTGAAAATGAATTTCAGTAATATTTAATGCAACAAAGCTACTGATGGAACTGGTAAATTCCTCCAAAACAAATGCAACTATCAGAGCTCAAGGAGCTTCTTAAAAGCAAAAAACCCCTCATGTACTTTATTAGAAAATACACTTTGTACTATTTTACTCTCTTGTCACAAATCAAGTAACTTTGAGAGATGTGAGAGAGGAGTACATACAAATCAGGTGTGAAACTCTCATCTGTGTGGATAATGTGATCTTGAGACATCTCTTCATCCGAACTAGCTCTCCAAAATGCTGTCAGCTCGGATCTCATGTATCGTCGCTGGTTATAGATGTGTTCATGACAAGGGGGCATCTGCTTCACAGTATTGACATCTACATCTATATGTGTAGTAGGATATGGGGCATACATTACTTGACGGAAGGGCAACACAAAGCTTCCTGTTGCATCCTGTTTTAGTGAAAAAAATTATTCTTCTAGTTATTTTTTTAAGAAAAACCAAACCTATATTGGAACAAAACACTGTTAAAGCATGATGTCTAAATTTTAAATCCCATTTGTTTAGACATGCTTTGTTTGACAGAACTGGTGGTTGTAGCCCAGCAAAACGTCCTTCAGACTGGATGATTCCCGTAATATAACACTGGCAACAGGTACTGAGGTAACCTGTGTATTACATTATTGCATCATCTGGTTCATGAGCCCATTAACATTACAGTTATATGTTTATATACAGTTATTATATTTATCTGCTAAGTTTAGACTGCTCGCTAGAGCAAGAAGCATTATTTTTCTGTTCATTTTCACCCATTGCTACAGCCCTTTTTAAAATACTTGGGAACTGTAGGACTGATGGACTCTTCTTTTTTGGTTTTGGTACAAGACAAAAAATTAATCTTTGGGATTCTAGCCCCAAGTAGGCAAAAGAGTATTATTGTTGTACCTCAAAGTATAGGAACAATTCTGGACAATACTCAAGAAATAGATGTGTCAGAGAAAAGACTGGCTTGGTATTTTAACATCCAAGTAGTTATAATGAAAGCTATCGCGCCAGAAACGAATCACGGGAAGATGACATATTTGAACATGAATGTGTGTATGCGTGTGCATATCATACGCACACACATACACATACATTGAAGAATGTTCTTAAACTACAGAAGAATGGAACTTTCCTAAGCGTACTTACTTTGAGTAAGCCTTGAACAAAAAGTCCAGACTCGTATTTGAAAGAAGACTCATTTCTACAGAGTCTGGAACACTTCCGCTCTGATGGCGTAAGAAAGAGACACAATGTTCTCACGATCTGCATTAAAAGGAACAGTTTTGAAAAACATGAAAATGGAAGGAATGAACTGATCTTCAGATGCAATTTCTGAGTAGAATGTATTCAGCATTTCAAATGAAGAACAAAAAAGTTCATCACGCTTATTAGAAATGCCAAAACTCTACCAGGGCCATAGAATAGTGACATGCTTAAATTATTAAACTGTAAGCCATATTACTCCAACTTCACATCAAATGAAGAAAAAATCCAACACTTTCTAGCAAAGTTTGTTTTTCAGCCAACGATGCAGAACACATCACTTTTGCCTTCTGCTACCTCTTCCTATTATGTAAACATGAATTACTGTGATTACTTTCCTAGCCTTTTAAGCCTCTTATTTTATTCACACCATACTGAAACAGCAGCTATTGTCTCCAATCAGGCACAGTCAATTTCCTAAATAAGTAACCATCATTATTTCCTCAGTAATTTCTTTAAAATGTCCATTAAAAGCAAGAAAGGTACTTCACTATCTGTTTTCCAACTCCTGTGCTGCAACAGGTACAAGTATTCACCTCCAAATACAAACATGTATTCCGTTCTGCTGATCTTTCAGTCTTAACCTGTGGTGTCCTATTTGTGTCTGTAAGGTGTTTGAGAAGGCTCTGTCCTTGCACAATGTATTTATGCAGTACCTAAATCAATGACAACCTAGTTTCTGACTAGCGCTTGTCTCCACTTCAGCCAGATGCAATAGGTGGGGTTTTTTTACTTTAACGAAAGCTAAAGTACGCCATAAAGAAAGCAATTACTTCAGAACAGCTGCACCATGACACAAAGACCACACTGCTGATAAGAACCTGCACGGAATTTATGAAATTTACCTTGGATGTATGTTGAGACTCACATTTTTCTAGACTGTTTTTTTCCTACAGTGTCTAGCTTATCAAGACGCTGTTTTACATACTCATAAGCATTTAGACCTTAAAGCCTTTTAATTAATTATTTGATGAACTATAAACGTTAAGCTTTTTATAATCACTTAAGCCTTTAAGATTTCCTCTATTATGCTAACTTAATCATGTGCAAATCTTACATCCCTGAAATAATATGTATTAACTGTGGTTAGGTGATTTCAGCTAAGAAGAATTTTCTTTTCTCTGGTTCCCCTGCTGCTCATGATTACTTTTAATCTGAGTGCCAGAATTTGCTATTCATTTGGTCAGAGGTGCTTTACCATCACTGCCAATACACATAAAACAATGCATTCCCACACTCCTCCATTTTTATAAAGCATCACAAACTAGTTATTTCAAAACACAGGTTTACTAAAGATGCCTTGAATTTTTTAAAAAAGACTATTATATTTCACAGCAGCAAGGGGCCTTACATACTATAAAATACATAATATGTATAGTCTACAATTAATATATAATACATTTAGCAGGCCCACTGTTATTAATTCTTATTTCACATGGAAGCAATACACACAGATACATACAAAAACATATCAAAAAAAGCATCAATGTGGAGAATGAAAATGAGTTTTTGCAAAATAAACCAGAGCTCAATAATTAGTACACCTCAATTAAAAACATAATCAGACAGAAAAGCCCAATATACAAAACCACCCCCTATCAGAAAAGGAAGTAACTGAACTGAACTGCTTCTCCCCGTGTACCACTGTAGGACCTTTGTCATGGTCTCAGGACATGGAACTACTGTTATTGCATGGCCCAGAGGCCCCAGCGTAAATTGAAAATTTTAATGCTACATAACTACACAGAACCTTACCCTCACAGCAGTATTGGTATACTCATCAAGTGCAGTGGTACCTAATACCTGAAGGCTCTAGGACTGCACACTTTTATGAAACCCTCCTTTTCATTCCCAGTTGTGGTGATATTCTGAATCAAAGAGGTTTATTAAAGGACTCATCCGTGAATATAGAGATGCAATTGATTTAGTGAAATATATTTCCTCACAAAGAAAATAACATTTTCTTCATTATTTGTCTCTTGAGTATCCTAACTGAAAATTAACTTCAGTGTTTTTATTAGAAGGGATGGAATAACACCCTAATTAAATGTAAGTCAAAGGGAAATCTCTCTGAACAAAACGCTCTGTGTTACACTAAAAAGAAATATGCTTTAAGAAATATTTCAATGGACAGTAAACATAAATGTATCTCTTCCAGGAATTGCTTTCAATTTATCTGAAACTAGCATTCTGGTATAAGCAAAAAGCTGTATACAAAAAAAGCACTCGGAGAATTCTGAATAAGGAAAACATCCTCATTTGATTTTTCCTTCACATACTGGGTAAGCTTAAAATAAGCATCAAGAAGCTCCCCATTTACAACAAAATATTAGAAGAAAAGCAGTGCAGGTGATAGTTTCATACTGGTTCAAATGAACTATTTCATAACAACCTTCCTAGAGTTAAAAATAGTAACAGCATGGGAAAAAAACATGTCTACCACAATGTTCTGAAATAACAGCTTCCAAGAGTGACCTTTTTTGCTCCCAAATAGACCATAATGACGTATATACTCTTCCCGGTGAAGAGGTACAGCTAATGGTGCTTACTGTTTCTAGGCCTGAAAGCTCCTAATCATCATCACTACTGATGTCCTCCAGCAAGTATGGTACACTAAGTGTTTTGATGTTACACGACTCCGTTTTAGGGTTTTATACATGTACCTTGCCTCTTTCTGGTTCTTCTGGAAAGCTTAGTCAAACCTAATTTAAGATCTACCAGATAAACTGTACACTTATTTACCAATTAAGTTGTAAACAGACTAAAGATGAAGTCAACACAAACACAGCTAGAAAGAAAAAAATGCTGGAATTGCTGGAAAGGTCTGAAGTCCTAGTAAGCCTGCCTGTTTCAATGCGTGTGTGTGACTACAGACTCAACATCTTTGAAGTTCCATGAAACACGAGCAGCTCATGATGCAGAAGTAGATTTATTCCCCAGCGCAAGAGAAATTATGATTATACTAATTTCTTAAAGAGTACACAGACAATACCCATTGACAGAGCTGAACTGGCCAAGACAGTTTAGATGTCTTCAGTTTGTATATTTTAACTAAAAAACCTAATTTTGAAAGCTCAGACTGATTTACTACTTGCTTATACACAGTACCAATTAAATTAAATAGATTGGTTTTCAACTGATAAGGCAATTTTCAGGCAGATTTATCAACTGCTAGACCCATCAGCTGAAGTAAGATAACCAGACAACAGTATGCCTTCCTTCTTCAACCTCAAGTGTATTTATAGATAAACTTAGTTCCAAATAACACACTAACACTCCTAATAATCAGCATTTAAGTTTGGCTTATCAGAAACTGCATTACCTTATTAACTTTTTCTGCACTGCTTCCTACAACTACAGAACAGCCACAGGTCTGCAGGTGTGAACTAATTGCACTGCAAATGAAAACAAACATAGGTTAATACATTTAATCAGACTTTTCAAATAAAACAATTCTCATCTTCACAAGAAGAATGAAGTGCTCCTGGTAGAAATACAGGCCCATCCATACCTAGAGGCCCACACCCATAGGACCTCACACATCTGTGTAGGTTACTGGTGAAATCCAAATGTTTGACACTACATTTTCATTTTGATGCATAAAAAGACTGTTACTCCAAACCTCCAAACACCAGTTACAGAGCAAAGAAAAAGTGTCTAGTGCTACTACCTAACTGTATTACAGAATCTGTATAAAATAATTGATCTAAAGTAACAGAAGACATATTAATAATGAAGGATTTGAAAGCATCTTGAAAGAAGATTATTCCATGGTTGTCCTCATTTTCTGAAACTGTGGATCAGAAGCCAGTTTTGGGATACGTGGCAGGTAAACTGTTCTACTTTTGGTAACTACATGGGCAAGAGCACATCACAAGCTTGAGAGCCTTGGAATACATACAGGCACGCTGGAAGTTGAGCAATCTTGTCCTGTGAGTTGCCAGCACCACAGGTCTGATCTAGTTTACCTTAAGTTTGGAGGCTGCAGTAAACATAACTGAACTAAACTTGACAACTCTTAACTTGTACCTTAAGAAACTTCTGCTAAGGTTTCTTATCCTCATCCTCTCTTTCCCCCTGCACTTTCTCAAACCAATGCCTGGCCCACAGCTTCAAAAAGTCTAGATACCCTAGAAAGTCTAGATACTATTAAAAAATTTTCTCCAATATCTGTGAATATACAAAAGTACATTCACATCTTACTATCATTGTATATGATCAACTGGTCCTAAAAAAACACCTCTAATTGATAAGGACTATAATAGCTACACTCAGACTCTGAAATCCTACAGTGGACCTGCTACTATTTACCTTACCAAGGATATTCTAAGCGTTAAATTTCAGGCTGTCTGAATACTCACTAATTCTTCCTTTGAGGCAGACATAGACATTCAGTTTCATTTAGAAGTTACTAAGAAAGCATGACTGCTTATATTAGAGGTTGGTATTGTTGATACGGCAGTTTATTTAGTGTAATCCAATTTTTATTCAATGACATCTGTAAATCCATACAACACTATATTCAAGACTTGAAATCTGAACCTAGATGAGCTGATAAGCTTTGCAGATAAGCTAAAAAGCAGACATTTGGACCCTTCACACGAATGGCCAAGTTATTCTTTTCTTTTCAGGAGAAAATTCCAGGGAGAAGAAGTAGCAAGAAGAGGTAACTGACACCCTTGTGTCTACTACCTGCCCAATAAAGCTCCATCTGGTATGAGAATAGCTCATCATTGTAGGATCAATGGCTCTAGTTGTTTACAATAATCCCTTCCATGATGCTCACTTCATCATTTCCCAAATTCTCTATGGACCTAAATATTACATTATTGTGAAGAATTAGTTAATTTAACACATGAAATTCTTTCCTACTGAAAGCATACGTGATGCTGTATAAATAGACGGCACTAAGCACTACATAAATAAATGCAGTTACCCCAAAGATGTTCTGAAAGGTAAGAGAACATCAGTTAAAATCTATAAAATATGTTTTCCCGCAGGAAGAGACCAAGTTGCTCTCTAGTGCAACCACTTCCACTTATACATTAAAAACAGAGGGAAAAAAGAGAAATACAGAGTTTAATAATACGCGTTCTATATGCCATACCATTAATGACTCTTATTCATAGTTTATACAGTAACACAACCCAGGGTTTTTTTGGTATTTCATAAAAATGTAAGACCTTGACTTGTATCCTCATAAAATTAAACCTAAGTATCAAAGAAAAATTGTATTTCATAGGGATTCTATTATCAAGCAAATGACTCTGTGACAACACAGTCTATAGAGATGCAGCTATTAGCCCAGAGCCATTCTTCTGAAAAGACAGCAACTTCTACAGCATTTTATAGGCAAAAATCTCAAAAGGACAAATACATGTCGCTCTTCCCCCCTCCTATAAAGAAAACTAGTACATTTTCCCATGCACATACAGAGAGATATATATGTACAGACACACAAGTTTAAAACATTTTACTACACCATAAATCAAAACTGGAATTCGTACTTGAGGAGAAAGCCTTCATGGCAACTGTCCCCAATGTCATCATCATTTAGTACTGTGTCACTTATCTGCAATGCAAGTAAATACAACCAAAGGTTAAGACAGGATCTGCAACAATTGATTTTTGTTTTTAATGATAGGTGGGAACTGTTTGGGAACTATTTAAGCTAAGTTGTAAGACTGCTCCAAACCCCACAACCTTGAAAAGGCCTTCTGACTTCAGCAAAAGCATTCTGAAAATGAGAAAGTCACTCTATTATTAAACTTTCTTCACTAGTCACAAGTCAGATTCCTCCCAGGGTGGTTTTTTTTTTTCCTGTATTCTTTGTCCAGAATACTTTAAACTAGTGCATATGAAATCACTTCTACTTCTTCCATGAGAACACTAAACCATGTTGGTATCAACATTAAAACCATCCATGTTGTTTTGCTTCAAATAGCCTTTTCACTCTACTCTCAAAAACGGTATCATCCTATGCAGTCAATTTTGCTGAGTCCTAACCACAAACCCCACTGCTAGTACTGTTATATTTACCAAACTAAAACAGTTATGTTAAACCATTCCCTACATCACTTGATATGAAACAAGTAAGTGCACAAAAATTTATGACAACTGTGGGGTTTTGTCTGGAGAGTACCAAACTAGAGTGCCAAAGCCACTTTTTTTACTCAGAATGCAAAACGCACATGAACTTACATCTATTTCTTCTGGAACACTGTGTGATTTCATAGATGAAAGGAGTTCCATTACAGGAATGACTTCTCCTGTCAGCATTGGAATGATGCTCTGGCCCTGCACAATAAATAAAACGCTTGAAATAAAAGCACATTGTGCAGTATTGGAAGTTACTACTAACATGAACTTGCAATACTACATGCAGAACATCTTTAACTTCCTATTGTTTGGAAGTGTGGTATGAGCAGCAATTGATGCATAGACTTCTTGGGCTTTGCTCATTAGTAATTATGAACTGGAATCATACATCTTGCTTCTCAATGTCATGTCTAAAATGTATTTCCAGGGTCCTATGCCAATTTTCACCATCAGTTTGACTGGCCTAGACAAGAAGCATTTGGAGTGAGATAATTCGATCATACCATATTACGTGCAATTACTGTTAAGCATTTTAGAGTCAAGTCTGATGTTTTAACAATGACAGAAACCCAAAACCAGGCATATTAGTTATTAACATACAAAATTACTTATCCGATTTATCTATCACAAGGAACTGAAGCGACAATTTCATATTTACAATTTCAGAAATCAAATCTTTTTGACAGTCTTATCCATTAGGTCTCCAACCACATTCCAACATAACAGACTCCATACATCTCTGTAACTCGAAAAGGTAACAACCTAGTGAAAAACCATCCTTGATAGGAGGTGAGCATGAATCTATGGAAGCTACTACCTTTACAGAGCTTCAAGTTCAAGTAAATTACTTTCCTTTTCTGAAAGGTAATATTCTTCATAGATTTCCACTTTACCCATAAAGTGGTGAAATGTATTTTCCTTCAACTTGTTCAGAGCTTCCATCATCCTATCTTCAGAAACTTTGCCTCCTGTGCATGGTAGGTCATCAGCCAGTCCAAAGTATCTTCCTGGATCCCAAAAATAAGAAGCAGCACCAACTTCTACAGTCACCAGATGCAGTCAAATAGTTTTGTGATGGCGCGCCATACGTATCAACCAGATGGCCCTTACCTGATCCTCCATTCTCTCCGTGCCTTCCAAGACAATCTTCTGGAAATGTTCTTGCCTCTCCTGAGCAAGAGAACCAGTTAAATATAAACGCTCTGGTATTTGTTTATATATGTATGCACACAACAGTCAAATGGTACAGTTTCTTCCCTGTGGAGTCACGCTTCTTAGATTCAAATTTCGATGTTCAAGTCTTTTCTCTTACAGAGTTGATATTAGTGGGAAGTGATGTCATTTTAAACAGATCAATGCTACCTGCTCTGCCCCCCACCAAACCTCTCGCATGCTTGGGCAGGAGTAGCAGGAAAGGGAGGGTGTGATGACAATGACAAAACATTAAGTTTCTTCATTACAGATCAAGCAAATGCCAAATGATCAGATTATGGTGCAGAATTCCATTTATGTATGGGTTTTTATTTTCAAATGGATAAGGTACAGACTTTTGGTTCCTGGTGCAACAAGAGAAAAATGAGATCTCCACAATCAGAAAAATTATTTGTTTGGGGAGTATAGGAAAAACAGGATTTTTTTTTCCTGCTCATCTTGAGACACTGACAATTCTTCAAAACATTGTTTTATAACCAAGTACAAAAGACATGAAACCTCAAAATACACAAAACACAATGTGCAAGAGACAGGACAAAGTTCTCAAAACAGACTCATCAGCAGCTGAGTAGCAAACTGCATTCAAAATGCGACTTACAACAGAATCAAGGTAATATTCACAAAGAGAATCCGGCATTAATCACTGGAACAATCAATACAATACACAAAAAATGGAAGATGCTGTGAGAACTAATGACATCTTTTGCTGAATGCTGACAGGTTATTGCATTTTTATTGGTTACTCATTAGTTTACTGTGACTGAACTACTCAAAGGTGATTAACTTCCGAGTGGGAAAAGAGTTTACATAACTTTTTTTGAGTAGATGAATAGGGAACAAGCTACAGTAACTTCCCCTAAAACAGTAATAAAACTTGTCTAACTCTCTAAAAGAAACATCTGTGAAAAACAACACTGGAATGAGGAAGATTCCTTCGGGGCACCTCCATCCTTGAGTTCAGTGCCAGTGAAGTAAGACATCCTTGCCAATGAAGGTCCTTCGCTTTAAAAGAAGTCAGTCTTCATGAAGATAAAGCTGAATAAATGGTGTAAGCCACTTCTTTTCAGAGATGTAACTGCTCAAAACTATTAGACAAAATCTGGAACATAAAACTGAAGTGGATAAGAACAGTTTCTAATCCCATATAGACAACTTGCTTGGAGTTGCTTATCTTTCTTTGTCACTCTGAACACTGTTCTGTGTTTCTCCTAGGCCTTTAGTGCAGAAGGTTTCTTCTCTTCTAAAGTCTAGCTGGAACTGTTGTCTGACTCTACACACAACTCATATGAGCTGATAACCACAACCATTAGAAATTCCAGAACAGATACACAGTTCCTTCAGATACGACGTCAACATTTTTTGTTCTGTGGTAGCCATAGTTGCTGAACTGCCTCAAAATGCAAACTGCAAAATGCACCTGTTTTAATTCAGTATTATTATTCTACTACTCATGCCTAATTTTAATCTACACTTTCAAAACAGTTTTCTCTGTTCTAGGTAAGGCTGCAGAACTGCAGATATATGCAGGGATCTTTGGTATCCTCCTCCTCCAAAAAAAGGAAAGACAATAAATGTCTGTTTCAGAACGTATCACTGTCTCAGCTAACCCAGTTGACTTATCTGCTTCAAGAACATCAGAAAAGGAATGAAAAACTTAATGACTAATTTCTGAGGAAACTAGTAGAAAACATTTTTTGGTCATTCTCCATGCCACATATTTCTACTGTGGAATTGAACTGATATGGATCAATGTCCAAAAAGAGAGAACATGTACTATAGCTGAGAGTGATAGACAATTCTTATCTGACTACTCACATTACAAGTCAGTACAGAGGATGCTAAACATCAGAGAAGCAATGTAATCAAGAATACGAGATAGAATTCATTCATGTCAAAAGGGCTAACATCCAGCAGGCTTTTAGAAGCCTAGATGAAATATTTGTTTCTACTATACTGAAAATGAACTTTATGTCCTATCTTTCCTCAGGAAAATAAACCCCAGAAGTATGAAGAGCCAACGTGATAGAAAACACTGCCAGCCATCACCAGGCAATACAGCAGAAATCAGTGGAGTTTATTTGTGTAGCAAAAAGGAAACACCAGCACAAAAATTAACATCAGCTTATTATTTCTGGAATCTTAATTAGTTCAGATAAGAGCACTCAAAAAGGAAGCTTTAAGTCTGTGGGCTGGAGGTCTCAAAACAGAAGAGGAACAAAAACTTTGAGACAAACAGGCATCACCATACATATTACAGCTGACATGCAATCTACTGCTCTGAGACAACTTGTACTCCATGAAGGCGACAGATATTTTAATTTTTATTATTAGAATGTTATTTAAACAAAAATACATAACCATTTTCACTTAATAAGGAAATATCCATAAGATACCCAAATGTAAGAGTTGTAATTCTTCAGAAAAATTTAGCATGTTTTCCTTTTTCAATTCCAGAAGTAGAAATATTTGGACTAAAACATGTATTTTTGTGGTTCTCTGATTAGTTTTACACAATTTAACACCTGCCAAACTGTTCATTGATTCCCTTTTTTTGAAAAACAAAACTGTAACAACAATGACGATATTGATTGCATCAGTTCCCTTTTCTGGACCTCAACAGTGAAAATGATGATCTGAAACACAGTACATTTACAATTCTACCTAGTTTAAATACACTAATTAGCACAGTTAAAAGCATGAATTTATATCAAATTCAGAAAGATGAAAAACTGTACAGGATGCCTATTTCATCCAGATAGCCCGGTACAGGTTATATAATATTACCAAGATAAATAATATGGCTAAAAACCCTAGCCTTGAATTTGCTGACATATTGATAATTTTTAACCTTCAAAATTGTATACTTGTAGAGAGGTCAGCCTCCTCTGAGTTTTTGTGTCTGGATTGCTACGTAACAAGTGTCACAGAATCTGTCTGTCTTTTGCTCAAGACAACCTGGACAACTGTTTTTAGTAATGAACAATAAACCTACCTTATGCATCCATATTCTTCCTTTCCTTATAATATGTGTTAACCTATCCACGCACACTCTGTGAAGCGGCAGGTAGAAGCCAAGTTCACTTTGTGGAAGTATAATTGACAGTCCATATGTGCTTCTGTCTCCATTCCAGTTTCCATCGAAGATTAATGACACAATGATTACCCTTTTTTCTGCCAAGACGAAGAACTTCACATCTATTGCACCGCTTTCTGCATTCCGAAGTATTTCTCCATTTAGGGTGTGGTTAGCAAGAAAAGTTATTTCACCATCACTGAGAAGTACCTGTTCTGTCTTTGGGGCCCAGATATGCCGCACTCGGGGGCCAAGAATATTGTCCCAGTAAGCAAAAGTGGCAGCTAATAAAGGTGACTCGCCATTCAAGGAGATCTCTGTTTTAGCAACTGCAGGAGATGGTGGTGGACAAAGAGCTGACATGCCTGCTTCCTCTGTTGTGTGTAACTGAAATGCTTACATTACCTGAAAAAAAGTTTTCATAGAAAAAAACCCAAAATTAGAGCAGTGGTCATTATTACCTCATCTTCTTCTTTTCCACATAAGACTTCGAAGGACCTGACTTCTACACCCCAGATTTCATTGTAGACTTCATTCAGGAAGGATGTGCATACGCATACCTTCCACGTAACGAAGTGGTATGCTCTGCAAATGTTGGTCAGACCTCAAATACCCTTTACTCACTGCACAAGTATGATGAGGCTGCACAACATTCAACTCGTGTAAGAAAACTGACATACAATAAATACATCCTTTACATCATGGCAACGTGCAGGGTGTTGCAATACAAGACAAATACTCAGCACTTTATAGCATGTATTGATGGAAAATGCTCCATATTGCACAGACTCAAATACTTAAACATTTTCCTTAGTGGTTTACAACAACTCTAGAGCGTCCCCATTTTGATGGGGCTGCAGAAGACAACAGGAAGTTTCACCTTCCCTGGAAGTTATGCTAGAGTCCCAGGACCACACCAAATAAAAAGGTTTTAGAAAGAAATTCAACCCAGGATGGAAAACTATAAAAGCTAAAATACATTTATCTTGACGAAACCTCACATGACCAGCACTCAGCTTCCCTTTCCTCTCTGCCCGCAGCTCTCCACATGACAGCAGAGGGGACCCCCCCAGGAGGACAGGAGCTGTAACACCCACCTCACTGACACAGCTGTAACTCGCCAGACCGCCGGCACCGTTTCCCTCCACGTATCCGCACTCTTTTTTCCCTTGGGATTGTCCCTAAGAAGATCGCCCAGGTGCCTTCCCTCACAGCAGGAGGTAAGGCACCGTCCTCCCCGGCTACTTCTCAGGCCGCCGCCGGTGACCAGCCCGGATGGCAGCGGGGGAGCCGAGGCCCTCTGAGCTCCAAATGTCACTTCACGGTTTTCAGGGAAGACGAAAGAGCGCGTCAGCCACCCCTGCCTCCTTACGCTCA